TAGACCGCGCGGGCGTAGGCGTCGAATTGCATCTCTTTGATTCTCTGCTGCGTACATGTACGCTGGATGGATGCATGCCATGTATTGGCTGTCTGCGCGCACGGGCTCGGAATGCGGTCGGGGCACCTGTGCGTGCAGCATGCAAGGCCAACTGAAGGGACGCCTCACCTGCTGGCTGCAGCAGGCAAGGTGGGCTGTGCTGGCGCGATGATACTCGTGACGGTGGCTGCGAGAAGCTACGTGTCACTTTTTCGTTGGTTTCCTTGGGGTGCCGAGCGCGTCACATTGGCCACCTAGCCATTTAAGATAGACATTTCCTTTGCCCTCGCCTCCAACAGCAGCGCCATCACTGACTTCTCAACAGACTCGGCGATACACACCTCTCCGATAAGTACAAGCCATCCATTGTAGGGCCAACAGCGAGGCAAAATGCAGCTCCTTCGCAGCGCTCTGGCAGCCAGCGTTGCCTTCGCAGCTCTCTCGAGCGGCGTCAAGGCAGCCGACGAGAAATCAGACGTGGTGGACCTCACCAAGGACACTTTCGCTTCTTTCGTCGAGAATGAGGTGCGTGACTGCCAGCTGCAGCAGCGCTGTTAGTCGCTGCGTCATTCCGTCACTGATCCCTGTTTGTGCCTCTGGATCGATGCCCTCTTCACTGCTGCAGAACCTCTCCCTGGTCGAGTTCTTTGCGCCTTGGTGTGGTCATTGTCAAGCTTTGAAGCCTCATGTAAGTGCACAATAGCCCATGACAGCGCGATGGCCTTCGCGACTGCACTTTGCGGCCCGCACAGCTCGTTGCGAGGTCCATGCTCCGCTAGCAAGAGGTGATCGACGGAAGGACGCCGGCTTACCATATTGCACCCCATTTTTACCATTCAAGTACGAGGAATCTGCCACGGCTCTTCTCAAAGAGGAGACTCCCATCAAGCTGGCCAAAGTGGACTGCACAGTTGAAGAAGACGTGTGCTCTGAGCAAGAGGTGCAGGGCTATCCGTGAGTAAGCCACTTCGTATTAAGAGACTGGGAGGGGCGAGGGGATTCTTGGGAGAGCCGACGAAGGCACAGATTAGTGAGAAGGAGAGTTGGAAACCGTCAGAGGGCGCTTGTGCCAACAGCGCAAGCTCCGTCCACTTCTAGGCCGTTGCATTCATCCTTTGCCACATACATGCGGCATCCCCTCCTGCCAATCATGTCGAAAGCTCTGGCAACTGACTCGATACTCGCCACTATCCTCCAGTACACTCAAGGTCTTCCGCAAAGGAATAGCCAGCGAATACAATGGACCCAGAAAGGCAGATGGAATCATCAGCTACATGAAGAAGTGAGTCGGGGTTCGGCTCCGGTAGCGAAGACCGGCCTTTGCAGTTCCTTCTAACCTCTCGCGCTGTAATTCTGCGCTTCAGGCAAGCACTTCCTGCGCTGTCCACGGTCGCACCTGCGGATCTTGAAGAATTCAAAAAGAAGGACAAGCTTGTGGCGGTAGCCTACCTCGCTGATGGAGCCAAGGAACTCGCCACCTTCTCCAGCCTGGCCGACAAATTGCGTGACTCATACGTCTTCGGTCATGTTGCTGACGCTGAAGCCGCGAAGGCAGAGGATGTCAAGGTTCCAAGTGTGGTCCTCTACAGATCATTCGATGAGCCCAAGATTGTTTACAGTGGCAAACTCACAGACGAGTCTGCCATCGAAGAGTTCATCAAGGCAGAGTCTACCCCTCTCGTGGACGAGGTCGGCCCAGAGAATTTCATGACCTACGCAGAGGCTGGCGTGCCCCTCGCATACTACTTTACTCTGCCAGACGCTGCCGACAAGGACAAGGACGTCGAGGCATTGCGTGACATTGCAAAGAAGCACAAAGGCAAGCTCAACTTCGTTTGGATTGACGCTGTCAAATTCGTCAACCACGGAAAAGGTCTCAACCTCAACGGCGAGAATTGGCCTGCTTTGTGAGTCTTCATCGCAGTAATAGCGTGATTGGTGGTGTATGCTGAGGATGTATGCCTCGGCCACACAGCGTTATCCAGGACATTCAGGGCAACACTAAATTCCCCTTGGAGCTGAGCGGAGATCGCGTTGCTGCTATCAGCAAGCACGTCGACGACTTCATCGGAGGAAAGCTCAAACCATCCATCAAATCCGAAGCGGTACCTGAGCAGGACGGTCCGGTCTGGGTCCTAGTCGCAGACGAGTTTGACAAGGTCGTGTTCGACGACAAGAAGGATGTTCTCGTCGAATTCTACGCCCCTTGGTGCGGACACTGCAAGAAGCTGGCGCCTACCTGGGACACCTTGGGCGAGAAGTATGCCGCCCACAAGGACAAGATCGTCATCGCAAAGATGGATGCCACGGCCAACGACGTGCCTCCGTCCGCGGGCTTCCAGGTCTCCAGCTTCCCAACCATCAAGTTCAAGCCTGCCGGCAGCAAGGAGTTCCTCGACTTTGCTGGTGACAGGACTTTGGACGGGTTCGTCGACTTCATTGGGCAAAACGCTAAGAACAGCGTCAAGATCGATCTCAGTGCACCTGCCAACGACACCAAACCAGCAGCTGCTGAAGAGCATGCTAAGCCCATGCACGAGGAAGTAAGTGACCACACTGGTACTTGCGCACAGGAGCCGTGGCTTTTGAGCTGATGTCCGACCTTCACTTGCTCGTTCCAGCTCTGATCTCCATTGCAGTGATTTAGCCTCAAACAGCACGTTGTAACGTATTCAAAGAACTTTTGAGGTTGGGTTGATAATCTGTCGCGAGTGTTCTGCCATCTCGAAGAAATTGATCAATCAAATGAGTTGCGTATCTCACTTGTGGTCACGCCTATGATCACTGAGTCGGTCACCGGACTCTCACACCAGCCGATTGCGGAACCGAACAGAGCAGAACAGCACCAAAAGACTTGAAGGCATTCGAATTCCCCTTGAGGGTAGCATGCGTTCGATAGTTGGAAGTCGATGTCCGGGCGGACAAGAGGCAAAGCGAGTTGCTTCTCATGCCGACGAGCGAGGCGTCAGCCGTACTACATCGTACTAGCAGTAGGCGAGAAAGTTTTGTTCGAATCCTTTCCTTCTTTTGCGGGGGCCCTGATGAAGGAGGCGGTCCGAGTACGAGGTGCGCGAAGAACAGTGTGAATGTTTTTTGGGGGTGGGTGGGGAAACTAGCTAAAGCGCAACAAGGCTTGTCCAACGAATCCACAAATAATTGGAATCGCGATTTCGAAGAGCAAGGTGATTGGCGTGATGAGGCAAAGGGTCGTGCGCGGCACAGCACGATTGAAACAGGTTGGCTACGATGAATCAAGCTCTGCATGATGCCCTTCACTTGGCACCCACGGCTGCGCGCAGCTTGTCGCCATTTTGCGGAGGAGCTGGTGCCGGAGAAAAAGACAGTGCATCGATGCCGCTTTCATAGTCGAAGGGTCGGACAGAAGCTCGGGTGCGAGAGGAAGCAAAGCTGTCGTTCGGCGAAGCTTCCTCTGCATCGACGCTCGTATGACCGCCAGCGTCGTAAGCAGCCTCTCGAGGCTTGTAGGAGCCTCCAGGACGAGTGCCGATTGGATCGATGTTGCGGCAGCGCCATTTGGGATCCGGTACGTAAGGGCAGCTATCCGGCGGATCCATTTCGCTGCTCGCTGCATCAAGCCCGACGTCATTGATACTGATGGACTGACTCGAGCCTTGGCGAGCTGGCAGCGGGCTCCAAGTATTCGAGCGATCTGCCGGACTGCCAGAGGATGTAATCACCGATGGCGTTAGGGGCGGATTTGGGCTGAGAGAAAATCCGAACGATGGAGCTGTTGCAGTATTAGGCATCGAAATGGTCCCACTAGCCGGGCTGGGAGTGATTTTCAGACCTTGCATGGCATCGGTCAACGATTGTGGCGATGCCGCTGTGCGTGGAGCTTGCGGCAATGAAGCGTCCAGCGCGGCGAAGGGAGCCAGCTTCGGATTGCTGGAGACTGGCGTGCTTGCCAGAGTGCTTGGCAAGGCGAGGGCTCCGCTGACAAGAGACTCGGGGCGTGAATTTGAAGTCTTTGGTTGCGTTTGTGGACGGCAATTCGCAGCGAGCGAAGCGATTGTGTCTGGACTTGGCTCAATGCCAGCAGCCAGCTGCGCCGCGATGATAGCACCGTTGGCGAGAGAAGCGGAGACCTCGTTTCCGGCTGCAAAGGGAAAGCAGCGCATGCAGACACGGCGACGACGCCAATTCTGGTGTGCACACGTCAATCAGATGTGAGCGAGTGAACTTCGATGCGGCTCTAGCTTCATCTTCAACGTAGACTCACCACGAAAGCGCATGTCGAGCAGACCCAATCTCCGGGTTGCACGCACCTATAGGCTCAAATGCTTGATGTGAGTGCGCAACTTGACAGTGGAATTGGGATCGCATCACTCACATGGGTCCCAAGTTGCCGGTATTGACGATGGGTGGCTGCGATGAAGTACCGTTCTGACCCTGATCATCTTGTCGCACATGAGGATTTACACCTGGGCCGACCTGAGAAGGAGTACGGCTCGGTGTAAAGATGGGCATCTACCAAAGAATCCAGGTGCCAACACTCACTCTGACGCCCATGCTTGCAAGGCGAGCTGCAGTTGCGAAAGACGTAGACGGATTGCTTTGAGCCCAAGCCAGGTGAGAAGGACCATCATCGGAGGGATGCGAGCGCGTGAGAGGTGGGCCAGCTGAACCAGCGTAAGGATTGCTTGGCAATAGCTCTCCCAGACGTAACCCACCACCAGCTACGGGAGGCAGCTGACGATTCAGAGCGGGAGCAACCGAAGTTGAAGCGTTGAAGGCGTGGTGACCCGGAGGCATCTGACCAGGCATGTTGACCAAAGGTGTCGTCCATGGGCTTGGAGCGTGACCTGCTTGAACGTTCGACTGCGTCGGCATTCCGTAGTTATCGCTGAAACTGCGCGTTGGCAGGGAGACTGCAGGTCGGGCCTGAAGCTGGCCCGAGAGATTTGAGGAAGCATGGTACGTCTGCATTGGAGGGACCCCAAGCGACATTGGTGGAATAGTATGAATACTGCCGCGTGAAGGCGCTACTTGTGAGGGTACTATAGGCTTCGGTGCGCCGCAGCCGAAGCAATGGTGATTGCGCTGGGACGGAGAAGGTCAAAGCGTCAACATGATGCTGGTTCGAAGCGTACTTTCCTGCATCTGTAGTTCACTCACATTATCATTACGAACAGCTGTACAGTTTCCCCGAGAGCGAAGTCAGCGCCAACATCGGTTCTTACGATATGGCGACATGACGCAAGTTACACTTACAGCACTGCATCGATCCACAAAGCCATTCTGTTGGCAGCAACTTTCCAATATCAGCAATACGATGATCAACGCACAGTGCGCTTTGGACTCACGTGGTGCTTGAAGACTCCTGAATCCCGGCTGATGGGATAGCGAGCCGGCATAGGACGGCGCATGATCAGAGCTTGAGAACGGAAGTGCGCGCATGTCGAATGCTGGCAGCGGTGGTTGCGTTGCCGGAAGATGAGTCCTGGAATTGATCTGCGTCTCAGACGGGCCATCAGGATTTGTTGCATCATCTGCCGTCACACCGGCAGCCTCATCAGCAACAGGAAAGAAGGAACGAGGGGCTACCGAGCTGATTCGGATCGAAGGAGCAGCCTTGCCTGATTCAGCCCCCGAATCGTCTTCGGAAGTCGGAGCAGGCTGCTGGCATTTGCGCTTCTCGATCGAGTGCAGCTCATGGGTCTCATCTTCGCTCGAATGCGAAGTCTGGTGCTCATCATTACCATTTGGCTGTGCTCGATGGTCCGCGATAGGTGGTTTGATTTCGATGCGAGCCTGGCGAACGCCCTGGTTCGTCATTGAGGTGCCCAATGAAGCAGGACCAGAATGCGGACCAGGATAGCCGTCACCACTCGCGTTGCGACATGGATGCTCAGGCAGTCGAGCGAGCGCTTCGACAGCGGTGACAGGCTGTGTGTTGGCCAAGTAACGTGTCAATGACGAGCATGTGCATCTACCACAAACGCTGTGCGCACCTTTGGTGGAAGCATACTTTGCAACGTTGTGCAAGAGTCGGTCCGGAGGCTGCGTGTTGCGCTTTGTTCACGATTTCCAATTTGCGGGACACTCGGACCGGAAGATGTGCAAGGTGGGACGCTCCTGTACTGTTGCAGCTCGGAAAGCTGGTGGTCTGTCTGCGAAACACTGTGATGAATATGTCCAGCGCAAGGTGGGCTGCCCAAAGCAGCAAGAGGTTTGGCAACCGAAGGAGCAGCCTGATGATCGACTGTGCTCCGAGCTCCGTCTAATATAGCTGGTCCAAGGGGCAGAGGTTTTGAGGTCCAGAGGAAGCTCTGAGTTGTGGAAAGGGTTGGTGTAGATTCGAGGACGTGAGACGTCGACCAGGTCGCTTGTTTGGACAGGAAGTCAGGAAGGGGGAAGAGCGGACGTTAGATGGCAGCAACAACTCGATTAGATGAAGCAGTCCTCGTCCCTCAACGATTCAAAAATCCAGGGTGGTGTTTGTCGTGAGAAGTGGGCCAGAGTTGTAAAAGCTCAGCGGGAAGGTGAGGTGCCCTTCAGCTAGCACGCGTGAAGTGGCGCGTTGGTGCCCCTCGAGGCTGCGAAAATACGACAGGCAAGAGCTTTGGGCCTTCGCCGGTGTATGTCTCCTTCAGCTGGCAATCACGGAACGAGAGCCCTGCATGTACTCAAGGCATCTCAGTGCCAAATTGTACCTGCGACATTGAGCTTCGCGAGACGCTTTAATGAATGCGCCTCGGTCCATCAATCTATACGATACATAGCGCACAGCTTTCTGAATGAAGCTGACCGCGGACGCACTCCATCTGCGACTCCTACGCTGAGGCGTGACTCGCTGCAACTCCTTCGCTTGCCACCCGTGTATGATGCTCTTCGCCGCTGTCAAGTTTTGAGAGCATAGCAGCAACTCTTTTCGCCCCGCATCCGGTTTCTTCTACCCATCGTAGCACCCGGCGTGTCGGCCAGCCGTTGCGCGCTCTTGCAAGAGCTTGCTTGCTTTGCACTTTCTGGGCTCAAGCGACCGCTCCTCAGGCCGCTGGCGAGATTATCGACCACTCACCTTGATTCAAGCTGGATGTGCGATCCAGTATGGAGCCCAACGCTGCTAGGTGATGCGCTTCGTTGGCTTGGCGTGGAGAGGTTGCGAGGTCCGTGTAGCCTGCATCGCGTGAGCACGACGACGCTTCACTCTTGCGGCCAAGTGAGGCTAATGAACACGCGGCCGTCTGCGCAAATTGCTCATTATTGCTACCGCTGGCCACATCACGCTGCTTCGTAGCCAGCAGGAGATTATCTAGCACATCCAGACGAAAGGGTGCACTGAGAACGGATGGCTGGGACGTTGACGCAGAGATGTGCGGGGTTCTGTTTGCCCTCGGCTCTGCTGGAATCGATGGAGTAGGTGTTATGGGCTTCTCCAGGAAGAGGGCACGGCTGACATGGAGCGCTGCGTTCTGCAAGGGTAGTAGTATACGTTCTTGTGCGTGATCCTCCCCTTCTGCATCTGTGCTGGCGAGCGCTTTTGTGACTTGATCAGAATCTAGGCTTGCCGCCTCGACGACTCCAGAGGGTACTTCTCGCGCGTCCCGCCGGGAGGGTGATCCAGGCTCAGCAAGCATCGGAAGCATGATTCTAGCTAGGTAGCAATGGACGGACGAGCGAGGGGCAATTCATTAATCGGCTACCACGGTCTGCTATGGTGAATACGGGCGACGACCGAGCATCAGGGGCTCAAGATTGAGCCAGGGAGTTTGGACATGACGAGGATCGTGTACTAGGATGGACTTGCAGGTGAGCTTGCGGTCGTTCACAGGAACTTTAAATTTGAAGCTTGTGCAATCCGCGGCTGATGACCGCAAGCCGGTCGGGCAGCATGTGCGCAGGGCTCAGAGGCTGCGGAATTGTGTATCTGCGCGGCCACTGGATCGTGAGGAGCAAGTCTTGCGTCCCCAGCCGTGAGTTCAGCCTCGTTGTTGTAACCTCGCGCTTCCTTCTGAAATGCGCGCTGCAGCCTCTTGAAATGCCGTGTGGTCGGTCTCAATCCGCTTGCAAGCGGATTGAATTCAACGATGAAGGATCCAATCACGAACGCGGCCAACCTGATGAATCTGACGAGGTATACAGCAAGTCACGAGTGCTCGATCATGACTCTGTTCATGCAGCTGACTTGTGGGTGGATGTTGCGCTGAACACTGCTGCCTCAAAGAAGTCACGCGAAACGTGATTAAAGTCATCAGCTCACTTGGACTTGGAAGTATGACTCTGACTTGCTCGATCTCCGCAGACTGCATGCGCGTCGCCGCTGCAAGCTTGGCCGCTCCACGCCCTCACGCATCGTTGGGATGTGGGCGAGTGCATGTTTGCGCGACCTATCCTATGGCTAACTATAGCTTCATTGGCTGTCCCATCTCTACAGTCAACAGCCCGTTTCATTACACGACTCACCTGAATCATGACAGACTCATGACAATTGCGCCCAGCTGCTGCGAAACGAACCCTTCTCACATTAGCACTGCCACGCGTAGCGTCGTTCACATCCCAGGCTTAATTGGTGCTGACTGCATGTGTGCTGGCGCGCGTGATGTTCAGTCCGCCGCCGTGTTGCTTGAAAAATGAAATTTGATGTCCTTCTCGAACTGCTTCAGGCTTTGACTTAGCTGCATGACACTCGTCAATCCTTTGCTGGCATCGACAGAGGCATCGACGCTTTCCTCTGCGCTCCCCAGCAGATGGTCAAGCGCTGTTCGAAAGGATGCTTGGGCCGACCTCAGAGAGGCGGGGGGCAAGGCAGCAAATTGATATAAAGGATCTGGCTCTTGCTTTGCCCTCTTCTGTGACGCAGGCTCTTGGCGCTCCTCCATTGACGCTTTCTTTGCATCATATCTGTCCACCTTCTCGGCTTCTGAACTGTCCTGAGGTCGTGCTAGTGAAGCGCCTCTCGCCCCAATCTTTTGCGGCTCTTCCACCCCATCACCCTTCCCCATCCTCCTCCTCAAGCCCACAGTGCGCTGGGTGCTCTCACTCCCCACATCCGTCTCCCCATCTGCACTTGCTTCGTTCGAATCTTGCGTCGCGCTCCTCCTCGCCAGCCTGATGTAGATCTTTCCACCGTCATCCGCCTCGATCTTGCATCCAATCTGTGCCCTCAACCTCCCATCCCAGCCATCTCCCCCCAAGGCGTTCCATCCTGCAGAGCCTAGGTGCATTCGGGCTCGTGCAAGGGAATGAAATCCATTGGCAAAGGCTTCGTTGCTCTTCGTAGTGAGCTCCATGTATCTCTGGGTGTGTTCCAGCAGGCGATCCAAAGCCTCGTCCAGGGCGTCTGCTGCCTCGCGTGTTGTTGACGCAGACCCCGGCAGAATGGGTTCGCTCACCTTTGTGTCCATCCTTGGAGCACGCGTACAGCTGTTCGGCGTTCAGAGTGCTCGACCTTGCGCTGGCACCGATCCTTGCCATGGAAACTTTTGAGCAGAGAAGAAGGCAACGACTCAAATGCAAGGGTGGATGTGGAACAAGTTCAACACCAGCAGCTGTGAGGGCGAGCGGAGAAGGAACAGACGCGCCGTTGCAGCTAAATCAGAAACGTGCGCGTGCCTCCTGCCGCATCGCGCTCGCTGCGTGACTGGCTTCCCCTAGTCACATGCAGTCACATTTCGTCACCGACGACTGCTCCTCGGCAGCGCTTACCACCTCAACCGAGTCTTTCATCCTCAGACACATCAGGCTGGCTGCAGCTTCCTTGGACTAAGTCTGAATCACATTGGCGGAAGAGACGACCGACTTGACTGGCACCCCGAAGGCAGGCCTGGAAACGGAATCAATCGCCGATGGAGTCGGCACACGCTAGAAGCGCGCGTCAGAGGAAGCAGCAGTAAGGACAGGCACGAGTGAGACGTTAGGCTCAGCGACCAGCGCCGTGGCCTGAAGACAGTATGTACGGAATGCCAATAAGTGCCATGACGAATCTTCCCCGTAGATGATGGTTTCGAGGCTGACACCCCACCTCACAAGGTGGCTGCTAGTCTGATGCTGCGCCTGGCAACGCGTTCTCCGTCGCTCAGAGCTCGGCGCTTGTGCTTGGAAGCCGTTGACTTGATGACAGCCTTGATGAATTTGCCGGTTTCGGTGAGCGAGTTTCCCTTGGACTATACACCCGCGATGGGCAAGCCCGGGCGAGGTCAACGGTGTCAGTAGATACTCATAGCTGCAAGGGTCTAGACGTCAACGCCGAACGATCGACTCACGAGAACAGACAGGTTTCCATTGTCGTAGGCATCCTGTAGGCGCGACAATGGCAATGGAGTGTGAGGACTGTGTAGACACCGCAGCGCAAGAATGCACGAGATGCTCACCGAGGCTGCCCAGCCTACAATGTCGTCGTCTTTCTCCAGCAACGGAATTACGGTTGCCCAGAATTTCCTCTGTTCCTCCATAGAGCACTCCTTGCGACCACCGTTCTGGAACTGCAGGGATCAGTGTGCGGGGCTGTCAGAGATGGCTCAGAGGTCGGATACTGGCCATTGACGATCGGCTCACGTTGATGCATGCCAATTCGGTGATGATCATCTTGTAGCCATAGGCACGGTAGTGTTCAATGACAGGCATCACACCATCCGGGTGCTCCTGGAAAATGTGCAGGTTCACGAGGTCCGGCTTCGTCTTGACTCGCTTCAGGAACTTTCCACACATGTCTTCATCTTTCTGCTTGGCGCACGAAGGGCTGCAGTGAAAGACCGATCTGCTCGTCAGCTACACGTCACAACGTAGCCAGTGACTGCGAATGCCTCTCACCTTACAAGGATGGAGCCTTTGGCTTTGTGTGGAGCAATGTACTGCTCCCACACATGCACAGCAGCATCGAGGCTCATGCCACCGGAACTGGCATGGCCTTGGAAGTCCATCTCATTAAAGCCTGCCACGTATGGATACTTTCCGTGAGGCACCTTCTTGAATTTCTCGAAGCGCTCAGCATCATTGTTGCCTCCGGTCTGGCCGATGCCCCAGCAGGTGGACATGAAAGCTAGGTTGCCCGCATGACCGTTGTCGGGTACGGGACCCCAATTGTGCCTGAGAAAAGACGCAGGAACATTGCGGTGAGTGCCATCGAGTCCAGCAAGTCTTCGCAGGCGTACTTACCACCATCCCAAAACTTCGGCAGTCCATTTGAGGCTCTCTCCGCCCGCGACACCAGCCTTGCCACCTTTTGGCGACTTGGAAGGTGTCCCGTGCGAAATGGCTTGAGTCGGAGTACCTGGGTTCTGCTGAGCCTTTGGAATGGGATTGTCTCCAGCGCCCGGCGCTGGGCCACCATGAGAGTTTTTATCGCTACCAGAAGCGGCGTTGCTACTGCTGCTGCTTTGAGACCCAGACTGAGCGCCGCCTGCACCCGCTGACGCCCAGCTTGAGGAGCTCGATGTTGAAGATACGGTGGCGTGGTGGTGCCTTCCTTGGGATTTGTGGCCATGCTTGTGGTGGTGGTGTTTGTGGTGGCGGTGCGATTTGTGGTTGTTGTGAACAGCTAGCTCGCTTTCGCACTTCTTCTTTGCCTCGGCTCCAGCGATACAGCTGAGGATGAGTGCCACGAGAAGGAGGACGAAGCCCGAGCTGAGAAATTCGGATGGTGCGAACTTCATGTTGCGAGCCCGACGGTATGGGTATGACCGTCTAAAGTCTTTTGCCTTGGGTCTGGAGTTTCGTGAAAGATGTGCGATCAGTTTGGCGTGTGAGGGAAAAGCGGAACAGCCAGTTGAGAGGAGAGAGCGCTGGGACGACAAGTTACCTCGAGTCCTGAGTGCGGTCAGTCTGGACGATCAAGCGATTTAGGGAATCAACGTGGCGCAGAGAAGGGGCAGGAGTGAACTCAAATGAGGGTATGTCGGACTCGGGAGTGGGCACGTCAAAGGGGAAGTTGCTTTAAGTAGAGGTGATGGTGATTGGTTGAAGCGTCCCGTTGCAAGGTGATGGAGATCTTGTGAGGGCTGCATAGATGAGGCAAGGAGCGACCAAATTCCTTGCAGTCTACACGCCGCTCTTTTGTCCACCCACTCGCACCGTACGTGTGACTGACTACATTGACACCAACTCGTGAATCGTGACTGGCGGGTAGCTGAAAAATGGCTAATTTGCTCCACGGCTGGGCGACTGCTGTGAATCTGCGCAAATGACCTTGACTCACACTTACAGCTGCCTTTGGTGATGATATGCTGTTAGCGTACCTCAGCCCAAGAGCCGCGGCATCTACGGCTGCGGATTGCCAAGCGCCAGCGCAGCAGCTATACGTTTGCCTGACTCGCAAGAGTCAAGCTCCGCAAGGGTGCCACCATCAGCAGCGAGGCACTCTGTGAGACGACCACATTTCAACTGTCACACGTTGACGATCGGCGGGCGTGCACCAGCGAGAAGAGCCCTCATGCAGAGCCGCCCTTGGACCCTCATTTGGCTGTGCAGGCGTACGCGCACCGACATCAGCTGGCGCACGTCTGACTTTTGCCACCATACACAATCATGAATCAAAATGTAGACGCCGCCGTTTAGGAGACTCGGCGCATAATGCCGCGGATGAGCTTCTTCCCATGCCTGTAGGATGGGCAAGTCTGAACCCAGGTACATGCGACGCCTACCTACGCAGCTAGTGCGCCGGGATGATGCATGCTGGCCTCCTATAGTTGCTGAAGACCAAGTATGTGCGTTTGTGTCCGGCAGGAGTCCCGTCTGCCCGCTCACTTTGTAAATTGATTGATCAGAGGGAAGCGAGGTCGAGCCCTACGACAATAACGATAGCGACCTTGCTGGCTGCGCGCGCATGAGCCATCAGACTGCGCCTGCGGTCGCACACTGCGGTGTCTGTATGTTGCTGGTGTAGATAGAGCTTGCTGGGAAAGACCCCGGTATCGTGGGACCAAGGTGCATGCAAGACCTTCCGCGAAGAAGTTTGCGAGTCGTCAGCCTCGAGTGCAAGATGGCAGCAGTTCGCTGCATGCATGCGACATCAGCACTGTTTCTTGCGACTCGCGCTCGAGCACACTTCTCGAGTCTCCGAAGCGACAGACTTGGCTCGAGGTGACACGATGATCGTCCGATCGGAAAGCGAAGCCTTGAAGCAGTAGACGAGTGTCATCCTAGTAGTGACTGTCTGCGCGCTCCATGAGAGCCAGGTATAAAGATCTCCTCTTCGAGCAAGAAACCCTAGGCGACAGTATGCATGTTGGCTAAATTCCAACCCTTGCTCGCTACACCAATGTGTCTGATTGCGCCTTCCCTCCCTTGCTTTTGTGTGGTCTCATCTCCAAATTAAGCCTCAGTGAGGATGCTGCGCAATTAAGTTAAACCAGATGCGATATGCGGCCGATACGAGATCAATGTGACCAATGAGAGTGACATTCAAGATTTGAGCAGCCGCTGTCAGGATGCATGGCTCCTGCCCTCGTAGACATTGCTGATTGCGTTTCATTGACGTGTCAAGGCCTATCCTATAGGCACCGCAGCGCACCCGCATCATAGTTGATTCTGTTCGAATTCCCTTCACCGTCGACGTGTGACGTTCGTGCCGTTGACGACGCAATGTAGAAGCGATCCATCCATGTAAACCCTTTTTCTTTCGTCTGGCTGACTTCTTTTGCCGTGTAGCATCTATGTAGCAGTCACGTCGTGAAGACTTTCCCGAATATAACAGCGGCTTTGTTCTTGAGAAGAGGCATGTCTGCGCCTCTCACCTCGGGTTGCAAGGTCGGACCTTTGCGTCTGCAGCAGAGATGTAGTCGGAAGCCAAGTTGCGGGTCGCTGATGCAAGCCCAGGCCGGTAGCAGGCGCCGCCGGGGGGGGGGCTTGCTTATTGCTTGCTGCCTGCCTGCATGCATGCATGCATGCATGCATGACGATTCACCTGCTGATTCGCGATTGTGCCTGAAGCACGTCAGTCAAGTGGCTGTCAGAGCGTCCGAACACATGAGTCGCAATTGAGTTGTGAGTGCATGTCACAGCTGCATAGAGCGAATCACAATGGTCGTGATTGTTGTGGTTGTTTTGTTTGTCTCTCGATCGTCAGGCTCCAAGTCTTTGAGCAGAAAGGAAAAGGCACGTTTGTTGAGTTGGTGACAAGACTGCGGCGACCAAACGCTCTGAAAGCACTTTGACTCGCGCGATTGAGCGCATCGTAATGGAACAAGCACACTCAAGACTCTTGACTGATCAGCTTCTTTTGTCTCAAGACTCGTGACAATGAATTGAATTGAACCACAAGTAGCCGCGTTCACGCGACACCCCTTTGCGTGGACAACCAGAGCCACTTGAGTTGTGTTCCGAACAAGAGTTACATTCTGAGGAATACGTACGTGTTAGGGATTGAGCTGCGAGGTGACGAAGTGAGAGGAAACACGACCAATGTTGAGTGTGTGTGCTCTTAAGTCCGTTAAGTCCGGACGAAGAAAGTGTCAGACAAGTCGTCCGATGCTGGATAGTGTGAGTACATTCAGAAGAGAGTTTGAGTGCCAACAGTGATTGTAGTATGGTGTTGTATGGAGGATACGGTTGCAGCGAAGAGAGAAGGGTTGGATGTATGGCTTGGCGGGATGAAGTCTAGCTACTGTGAATGTTGAAAACGGAGGCGGATCACAGAGTGTCAAGGAGCTCCTTCAAGCGTGCGACTTTTAAATCCACGGCACAATTAAGCATCAGCACGTTGTTCAATTTTTCTCGCGACCTTTCTCAACACTACCTACTCGACTCACCATCTGTCTCGAATGGAGTCTTGCTGCCACTGTTTTTCTTCTGTGTGGCGGCGACAGCTGCGGAGGCCGAAGGGCTGGGTAGGCTGTGCATTCCACTTGCGCTATCTCGCGCCATGCTGTGAGCAGGTAACGAGGCATCAAAAACGTACTGTCGCCTGTTTCCTCGCTTCGTCTTGGCAACAAGGTACTCACGGACGGCCATCATCTTCTTTGAGCCAGGCGGCCAATTGCCCCAAGAGATCGTGCCTGACCATCTTGAAGTGGCCCCTAATGGTGTCTTTCCAGAAAGCTGGCGGAGAAGTCAGGGCCTCGATCATAGCCACCTTGACCGCTTGCCGGCGAGCTGAGATATCAGATGTTTCAGCAGAGTCTCGGTCGCAACAATCAAACGTCTCGTGTACTTACTGTTCAACGAATACTCTTTGCTCTTGGGCTTGCCCAAAAAGTCTTCCCAGCCAGGCTCATTTGTGCACGGTTCGGACTCTCCGAGAATCAAAGACTGGATGCTGATCAAGACCTGCAGGATTGTAGATGTGCCGGAAATCCAGCCTGGACCTGTCCATGTTCCGAGCAGGCTCAGACAGACCTTGCCTTCGGCGTACAGATTGGGGTTGTGGCGCACCCTGCCGCCCGAGGTCGATACAATCTTGACCTTGGGGGGCTCCTGATTGAATCTGTCAGGGAGGAATATGTCGAAGCAGTAGGCCCCGTACGAGTAGGGCGTGCCTTCGGGTCCGATTATCAAAGCTTTGAGAATGTCCAGGCGTGACTCGTCGACGCGCACGAAGATGGTGTCTGGCAAAGCAATCCTCAAGCTTGAGAGCTCTCTTGCAATCGCCAATCCCCTTCTCGCATTGCTAGCAACCGACGTCGTAGCGATAGTACTGCTGAAGGCGTGCTGCCACTCATTCACTTTGCCGGTCTCAAGCATGTCAACTTCTTGCCAAGTCTCGCTAGGGTGGATTCGTGAGGTGATTAGCTCATCGCGAGCTTGGTTGCTGACGCCGACGGCGCGCCTGCTCACCTGGCGGACCACGCCGCGTACGCCGCCTGCCGTTCTTCTTTGGACTGAGCAGAAATTGTACCATCAGGCAATGTCGACGGTGCTCCTCCGACCTGCGCCAGTAATGCATTCAGGAAAGCCTCGCCCTTGGAGTGACGCAGGCCTGCGTCGATGCGATCCACCTAAAGAGGTGTTGGCCATCGTCTCAGCACCTGTCGCGTTGACGCAGCACGGTACGCTTGTGCGACTCACTTGTGATATGAATGAATCCACGAGCTCCATCGTCCTCTGTCCTTCGGCGTCAAGCTTGGCGTATGCCGCGACCTTCGGTCTCTTGTCCCCGACCTTGGCCTCAGATGCATCCCTCACCAGCGCTTTCTCCGCTTCTTCCTTGGTCGCTTGTGCTTGCATGCGCTTAATGCTGTTGCGAAAGACTAGGCACTGATTGACGACGTTTTGCGCCAGCTCTCGAGGTCCTTTGTCACCCTCGTATGTGACTTCCTTCTCGGTCCTCCCGTCCGTCCGCACGACATCGCGCACAGAACGTGGGGTCATGATGGGCTGTGAGACAGAGTGGTCGTCAATTGCCACTTACTTACTACGAGAGGACACGCGTAACGATTGGCACGACTGACCTGAGCCAACAGCGCCGAGAGCGCCTCATGGTACGACAGAGTCTGAAAGAAATTCAAAAGTTCCTGAAAGAGCGCTGCTCGTCTGGTCATGTCGTTCAGGCTGGTGGGGAGCAGATTAGGATCACGCTACTGCTCCACACTTGCCTCCCATGCTACTTACCTTTCTGTGCGGAGCAAAGCAGAAGCTATGGGCAAGAACCGACGACGCACCGCGGCGATGCTCGTGATGTGAGGCATGAAGTCGGACTGAGCCGCTATGGGTCTGCGATGGACATCCGGCAGGAATGGTCTAACTTGAAAGAGAGCTTCCCGGATGCGCTCATCTTGTAGTTGCTGTTTGCTATTGGATGCTTGGGTCCAAAAGTGCTCGTTGGAGCTGCTGCCTGCGAAGCCAGTGCCGTTCTGGCGGTCGGACCGCGATTTCCCCAAAGACGTGTAAAAGCTGTGGTCATCGAGAAGGGAGTAAGATGACATTGCCTCGTTTGCTGGCGTTTCAGAGGCTAGCTTTGACGCTTTGTTGGGGCCGTTTGATGTTGTATCGATGGGAGCTGACGCATTGTTGGCTTTCTTCGCCGCGGACCTGCCCTCTGCCGCACTAGCAGGTCTGTGACGCTTCAAAGAGCTCGCGTGATTCTTCACATCTTCGCACTTGAGCAAATCCTCGATATGAGCCAGCCCTACAGCCAGACAAATGGCCTGAAGTTGCGAGCAGTGGAGTAGGTGCGCAGGCAGCGGTGGCTCGCTGGAACTTGGGACACCTTTTTCTGGACTCTTCGCACTTGGGCATTCGGCTCGCGGCAGAGCCTCTTCCTCTATGTAGCTTTGTCGACAAGCTACACATGTCTGCTCTTGGCAAAAACTACAGCGCAGGACGCTGTGCTCAGTAATATGGGCTACAAATTCCTTGAGAGATGGAAAAATAAGGAGCATGTTGAAGTCGGATTCGAGCTCGGGAACCAGTCCGCATCTGTGACAAGAGACAGTCTGTTGCAGATCTTGGTACAGACCGAACAGATGCTGTTGCCCTCAGACATGGTCAGCAACAACGACGATTGGGATCCCGGGGCACTGTTCGAGGACATACGGCTTGTTCTGACCCCACTGCTACGCCCTTCATCCACTCTGTTTGGGTCAATTGCTTTGCGGGCCCAGTGGAGGTCTGAACCACTGCGCCCACCTCTTCCACTTCGATCACCACCTCTTTGTGCCCTTTTGAGAATTCAACCCTTCTGTAGGGGTCGTTGTCATTGGAGGTCTCGCCTGCCCCTTCGAGATCGTCATCTTTAGCAAGCACAGAGCTCGCAATCAGTAGGGTCTCTTGCAGAGAATGCGGTTCTGCTGTGCTTACCTGAGAAGGTGGAGAGTCCACACTCGTCATCTCCGTGAGAACTGGCCTGCTCATCTCCACCACCTAGAGAGCACGTATCTGCTTCTTCCACAACGCTAGCATCCTCGGCTTCGGCGTCCGCTTCGATGTGGTCGAATTTGCCCGAGAAAACAGCTTCGGCTGCATCCTCGACATCCCGAGAGGATGCCAGGGCCGCCACTGCCACAGCCCTGTTGATGCCCATATCCATCAATTGCGCAATCTGACGATTCGACATTCTGTTCGGGACCAAGTGTGCGGAATGTATGAATGGTGCCGTTGTCTACTACTTCTCCGAGCGGCGTGGAAGCGTGCGAGCACTCTCGTGGAGGTGATGGTCGAGTCCCGTTGGCGGACGGAGCTGGCCAGCTCTCGCTGTTTGATCGCACCTACACTTGCAAAACGGTAGACTTTACAGCACCTGAAGCGAATCGTGTTCTGCAAGTGACAAATTGAGGTGTGTGTGGCCGAGGCATGCAGGTCGACCTGCTGTTGCAAAAAGACTGCCAACGCGGGATGCCTCTTCCGCAGGCAGCTTTCTTTCACAACAATTGTGGATTACTTGAAGTCAAGCGTGCAATCCACGCGGGCATGAGCGAAGGAGGCTAGAAGGTCTTGAGGAATGCTGCGCTCTATTGATTCAGATTGATCCAAGATACTTCTTGGATGTTGTTGGTATTCGTGATTTGACTTCCAGCAGGATCGGGCGCTGATATATACGCGATGGATGTATTCGTTGCCTTCTGTTTGCTGCTTGCCGCGGGGTACGCCAGGCTATGCATGCTGAACGAACGTCAATCACGAATCTTGAATTTGAATACCATGGCACCCCCAGAATCAAGAATCACAATTTTGAATCTCGAATCAACACATCACGAGATGCCGGAACATGTACGGTACTGTACTGGTACAAACAAAAAACCACAATCTGAATTTGAATTTGAATGTGAACAGAAGGCTGGCTGGCGCTGCGGGTAAATCACGCATATCGATTGTATTAATAACAGCCGCGGTGCCCGCGCGTCAGGTCGCGCAGGACCCCGCGCTTGCCTCCACCTCACATCCTCATCGACTTCTGCACCACAACGGGTTGTGCAGCCCAGCAGAGCTCGTTTGTCGTTCCCATGGCCTCTTGGTGATCTTGTTGCACTCACGATTGCTACGTCAGGAAGCGCCACCTCCACGACTTGGGCTCGCCATCGGCGTTGAGTGGTTCCGGTTCACGATCGTTGCTATCTCAAGATGGCGGCAATGCGCATCATCATCCGGCCCGTTGCCTCCATCAGGGCGCCGAATGACGCCGTCCGATTCGCCGGGATGACAACGCTCTCGTGTCGGCGATGCAGCTTAGCATCAAAGCAGCAACGACCAAGCGCTTTCCCCTCCCTACTCGGCAACAAAGTAGCTTCGATGCCCAACACTTCAGTCTCCTCACCAAACATCTTTCGACGATGTGTCAATACGCCTGCCGACAGCGGCGGGATTCGCAACACTACGCCTTCCAGTTCCAAGCCTACCAAAGATGCAGGCATGAGACCAGCGCACGTCGACGACGATAGGGGCTACTTGACCTTTACGCGTGCTTCACTGTTCAAGCTGACGCTACCGCTAGCTCCACCTTCTGATGATCCCAAGTCGCCCACCTCGAAGGCTTCCTCAGCGGCAGCACGCGCTCAACGGCGACAGGCAGAGCAAGGCAATGGGGAGGAAGAGCCAAAGCAGCACTTGCAGCCTGCGAAAGATAGTGTGAGGTCGTGGGAAAGGAGAGTCGAGGACGGAGAGACAGTATCGCAAGTGTATGATGATCAGAAAGCGGACGGCAAGACGAAGGCGGACCGCGCACAAGAGGTGGAGGATATGATGACTGATCGTGCAGAGCTGGAATTCGACGCGCATGCTCCCGCGCATTCCGTGGTGTTCCTTCTTCATGGGCGAGTCGCTTTGTCGCAAAGCTGAACTCTCATTCTTTAGAGTCCACTGACCCTCGTCGCACGCCGCCGCAGAGGCCAGCCGTTGTCATACGTCTCGAGCTTGATACGCTCCGAGGGCCCATCGGCACGGCCATTGCCCTCGCACACTCACGGAGACCACCCTCCTGGCACACCGCCTGATGACACGCTGGATAGCCGCTTGCCCGCGATCACGTTTCACACTCGGCGATCTGAGCTCAAGAGGTGGTCGCCTGCTACGGGTTTCAATGACTACGTTCGCGAGGCTGCACGACTTGGGAGCTTCACGATTCGCATCGGCGAGCGAGAGATCGAGGTGCGGCGTGCATGCGTTGGGGTAGTCTGCCCGTTGAGCATTGACTGACTTCCGGTCTGTTCTCAGGTCAACGTCCCTTCATTCGAGGATCGCACCCGCTTTCTGCGCTCGCGATTGTACGCGTGCACGGATGAGATCGAGAGGCTCAGAGTGCTCAAGGTTGAATGCGATAAGTTAGCCCAGGTCGGAACGAAGCGCTTTGCGTTCGCTGGAGCCGGGGTGCTAGCTACTTGGTGGGTTACAGTCAGCTACTTCACCTTCTTCACCGAGTATGGCTGGGATGTGATGGAGCCCGCTACATATCTCGTGTGAGCATGCTGTGCTTCATAACACAAGTCCGGATTGCATTGCTGATCCCTTCCTGTGGCATGCAGCGGTTTGGGAACCTTGATGGGAGGTTATGTTTGGGTAAGCCTTTGGTGTTGGGAAGACTGGATCCGCATGAGGCTTGCTGACGCAACTTTACGCTGTTCCACCGTATGTTGTGGCTTAGTTCTTGCTTCACAATCGCGAGGTGAGCTCCGTGACGGCCACAAGGCTCCTTCTCTCGTAAGCTGATCGTGCGGATCCTCTCACCTGCAGGTATCCTACCGCGCCGTGCTGAATGAGACGACGAGGTGAGCAACTGCCAGAGGAGCTTCAGAAGACAGCTTCAGCCTCTAAATGTTTTGCCGAACTTCGCAGTCGTCGCCAGCAAATGCTTTACGAGCAGCGGGGACTGAACGTAGTGCGTTACGAAGAGCTGATTGACGAAGCAAAGTCGCTGCGTTCACAAATCAAACGTGTTGCCGAAGATGTAAGCCACAGCCTTCGAGCCGGATCTCCCCCGACGCGTCTCAGCTGACGACTCGCTTCACACCTTAGTACGGTCTGGAATGGGATCAGGGAGAGACAGTGTCCGGTCAGAAAGCGAAAAGGGCTTTGGACGTGGTCAGGCGACGCGAAGCGGCAGATGAGAAAGGTGGTCGTTCCGTAAGTTCAAGGGTACAGCTCCTCCACTGAAGAGCGCCATAGTGACTGAATCTAGAGGTCACGCCGCGCGCAGAAGAAGGAAAAGGACGATGAGGATGAGGAAGACGAAGATCATGAAGAGGCGGAGAAAGACGATGACGGGGATGGAGTCCCTGATGGAGATCAGCGTCGGACTGCACGCGCGGCGTTGCGCTCGAAGCAGCAAAAGGACGAGCAAAAGGCATGAGGTTTGCTTCGAAGATCTGACAAATCGGACCAAGCATCGCATGGGACCGTGCTGCAAGCATCATACATACAACATACCCTCAGCAACAATCATACACGAGCGTGGCCAAGGATTCAATTGAACTTCCAGCATCGCGTTACGTGTCCAGCGCGAGATGAGGCTGCAGCGACCCAACGCAGTTTTTGAGCGTCTCGCGAGGGAATATGTGCCGGGCGCCGCGGTGACACAAGTTGGTTGGAGTCATCGAGCAAGCGGGCTTCGTCTACTTGATTTTGATTGCCGGGCGCATAAGAAGACCCGAGCATCTATCGTGATTAGCGCACATGAGAGGCCCGCCTAACACTTTCCGAGCGTGCAATGCCGGCGCGAATCTCTCACGAAGCGCACCTAGAGGGCAAGAGAGATTGTCTGAGTGTCTGCATGAGTGTCGCGAGTGCTCAGATACAAAGTGGTTGTTTGAATGCAATTACGTCTGTGGCTTGGTTAGTGACCGGTGCCTGATGCGAACCGTTTTATGTAACCGCGATGTCCAGAAATGATATGTACTGATCATTATTGTTCTGCCTGAATCATGGGCATGCGGAATGACCGAGGCGAAGCTCACGATGCCTCGGCCGCAGCCTGCGAGTCCGCACCGTTGGAATGAATGGCTCACGACGCTTCACGCAACGGTGAACGCGGATTTTATCGAGATTCCACGCGCTGACGAGCAATTCCATGATACGTCGATCCTCGACTTGACTGGCGATTGGCCATTGCGATTCAGTCAATAGTCCATCGCGAATATCGCGCACGAAAATGCGAACCTGGGTGAGCTTCGCTCGGATAGAAAGTCGACCGACCGACCGACTTTGCCGGCGGTTGCTCGGACATCGTGCTGCTGCTGCTCTTCTTCTAAATTGACGCCACAAATCTCGGCTTCGCGTCTACGCGGCCGATTTGGCGCGCTCTGCTGCTCGGCCGATTGAGTGAGCGGGTGCAGCAGCAGCAGCAGCCAGCAGCAGCCAGCAGCTTGGGCCCTCAACCCCTCCACATGATTGGCGCATGAAGGCTCGCTGCAGCAGCGAGTTCGGTGCGGTTGCTCCGAAAAGGCGATGCAGCGGCTGCACGCGGTTGCGATTCAACAAGGTTCGCGATTGCGGTCGCGCTGGATGACGTCCCTGATGCGATAGGTAGTGTACCTACGGCCAATTCGTGTGTAGGCACGAGAAGCAAAGCAAATGGAGCAGCAAGCAAGCCGACTTTATCGCTAAAGGTAAAGGCCCGATCGATACCAGCTAGCTAGCTGGCCGACGTATAAGAATTCTTCCTTGGCTGGCGTCTCGCTGGCACATTTCTTCCACCATCATACTCGAGCCATCTCCATCCGCTCTGCTCCTCACTGCAAGTGCTGCCCCACGTCACATCTCGCAACATGGCTTCATCCAGTAGCGCCTCCCCTTCAGGTTGGCTGCCCACCTTTACTAGCCTCGACTATGCCAAGTTCTTCTCTGCCGGCGCTTTGTGCGCTACCGCTACCCACGGCGCCATGACGCCCGTGGATGTGGTCAAAACTCGAAGTACGTTGCCCAGCCCATTTGTGGTGCTGGAAGATGGCAGTTGAGCTGCGCTGGTGGTTGTGCGTGTTGCTCATATCACTGACGTTGATTACGCCCACTGTACCGTAGTCCAACTGGAGCCAAAGGGATCCAAATTGAATGGCATGGCCACCATGACTAGGCACATCATCGCTAGCGAAGGCCCATCTGGCCTGCTTGCCGGCTTCGGCCCCACAGCAGTGGGCTACCTCATCCGTGAGTTACGAGCGTCGGCAGACTAGACCTGCAGCATTACGTCGCCAGTCTCCAGTAACATGTGCTGATGTGCGTCCCCTTGTGCGTTTCTCAAGAGGGAGGAGCAAAGTTTGCCGGTTTCGAGTTTTTCAAGCTGCAAGGAGCTAAGCTGGCGGGTAGCAGAGAAGCGGCAGAACAATACCGCACAGCGATTTATGTTGGAGGATCCAGCGCTGCGGAGCTCATCGCCACTACGCTACTGACTCCCTTGGAAGCGGCTCGTATTCGTCTGGTCTCTACTAGAGGATACGCCAGCGGCTTGGTTGGCGCTGTTGGGCGCATGGCCAAGGAAGGAGGCCTGAGAGAATTCTACGCTGGTTATGCTCCCATCCTCTGCAAGCAAATCCCCTACGCCATAGGTCAAGTGAGCGACTTCCACCCTTTGGGTAGTGCAGTGATGCTTGTGACTGGACACTGAGGGCTCTTTCTTCCCCCGCAATCTCACCTCACTACCACAGTTCACCACCATGGAGACCCTTTCGGACCTGCAGATTACAAAAGATCTCAAAGCCAAGGGTCACGCAGCCGAAGTGGCCGTTGATCTGGGTAATGGTGTGCTAGCAGGTTTCGCAGCTGCAATCCTCTCTCATCCCGCCGACACTCTTCTTTCGAAGATCAACCGAGGAGGCGGAGGATCAGGTTCAGCAATGAGCAAGCTGATCGTGCTTGCCAAGGAGACTGGACCCGTCGGTATCTGGGCAGGTTTGGGTACAAGAATGCTCATGACCGGTTTCCTGATCGCCGGTCAATTTGCCCTCTACGCTCAAATCAAAAAGGCCGTCGGCGCTCCTCCTGGCATCGCCATCGCCAAGGCCAAGGATAGCTCCAAAGCTTGAGCATTCCTCTTCGTCTTACCCAAACGCAGAGCGATGCGTTCAAGCTTGCTTTTGCTCTGATCGTGTCTCAACTACTTGCCTCGACCGATGGTCAGGTATCTGTATTATTAGCACGCCAAGACCGTTCAAGCGCTTCTCATGGCAAATCTTGATGACATTACTGCAGCTAATCCTGGGGATAGATACACGCTTCGACAGTACAGGAATTGAGGAGAAGGTCCCACAACTATTGACGTGGGAACAGCAGGCCGCGAGTGCTGGATACGATGAGCCGAAGCGAGACTTGCGGATGCCTTGTCACCATCAGCGAAGCATGCGTGATCGCACTCTACGCTTCGAAAGCCCACTTGCCGCGAATAGGACCTCCATGAATGCGCTCAGCCTCGAGCAGCACCTCTTTCTGTCCGGCATTCTCCAGTCCCCTGGGACCAGCTTCTTCGATGCGGTAGCCTTGCTTGCCTGCGGCCGTGAAGCGACGAGCGCCGTACCTATTCTCTGGAGCGACGAAAACGCGTTCCCAGAGGTAGCGCAAGCTGCCTGGAGCGGCAGAGGGCATGTACTAAGGTCAAGGGTCGAGGGGAAGAAGTAGAACGAGCGAGAGAGAGACAGACGATCAGCATTCGGCCAAATGGCAAACGAACAGAGCGTCCGATGGATATGCGCTCACGATTGGCTCATTCTCCACCCAATTAGGATAGCTCCTAGGCTTGCTCGCCTTCCTAGCCTTCTCCTCGCCGCCAACCGGACATACGCGCCCGTCTGCAGCCTTGGCACCGGATGCGGGACAGATGCCCATGTCGACAGAGCCGTCCAGTATGTTGTCGGTGCCGAGGGGCAACAGCGTCTTGGGCTTTGAACGTGGAGCGCAAAAGAGCAGCACGAATGTCCCAACGGCTCGCAGTGCCAGCGAAGTGCTGCTGGAGACCCATGCAGAAGGCGCAGCCAGTCCGAAGGCCTTGCGTAGGCGATCTGACAGGAGAGAAGCTGTACACGAAGCAATGCGAGTGCAATCGAACGTCGTCAGCAAGTGTTGACGAGGTACATGGCGCGCGACGAGGACCACGGGTCGCTCACCGATGATGGGGAAGAAGGGCGCACGCAGAGCGCGAGGCACGTGGTACAAGAGCAGGTGAATCGTCTCGACGGCGACCTCGTGGTTCTGGGGAGCGAAGACCATGTGTTTCTGCTCGTAAGATTCGGCCCAAGCCTTCATATCTTCCAAGGTTTCTGGAACATCTTTGATGTTGAGGCATCGACCAGAATGGTAAAAGACGGTGAAGAGCGCTTCAGCTTCTAGAGGCGTGGCATCGCGCCATCCGGCCTTCTTGTACCAGAGGACCGGCTCCAGCATGAATGTGCTGAGCGTGTACAGCATGTCGTCGTTGGAGATCGGAGCGCCGTGCGGACCGTGCAGAGCGTCGGCTCGACGATGCAAGAAATTGATGCGCGCAAAAGCGATTGCTGAACGTGGATCGTCCTCATCCGGCCAGAGCTCGTTTTCGCCTGCACGCCCAACGTCGTTCTTGTCCAGATCCAGAGCAGGCAAGGCGTAGGTGAAGAATGCGGCGATGAGGACCGCCGTGTCGGCATACCTT